GTCGTTGGGGTATAATGCCTTTCGAGTCCAAATATTGCAAGTCTTGTTGTATGATTGATGAAGATAGGATCCGTTTGATCTTCTGTGTGTTGGATTATAGTATCTCCTGAATCCAAACATAACTCTGCAATTCTGCATAGGCCCATTCATGGAAAGTTCCCAAATCAAACAATTTTCGACATGCTATTTTGTAAACACGTTTGTGGTTTGGTACGAACTGTTCTGGCACCAAACTTGATCTTCTGAGATTATTTGATGGGTCAAGATTACATAACATATCGTTTCATAGCTTGAATCCTCGTGGTTTGGTCGGGATCCTCCAAGGAATGTGCGTAGGTCCAAATCAGGTGTGCTTTGGGTTCACCCGATTTGCAAAAGCCATAACTCCATCTAAACCAATATTGGGCTGGTTCCACTTTAAGGTGTTCTATTGATGGCCTGCAAACATAACCCAACATAACCCAACTGGTTTGAGAGTTTAAACCTCGTTGCTTGGATGGAACCCGTTGGACAAGGGACATAAGTCATTATCGGCTAGAATAAACCCGTTTGGAATTTTCCATATTTATAATTTTATTCTGGTCGCGTATGGAATGATATAGACCCAATTATACTTCCACGTGTTTCTCTGTTGAGTTAAGTTATTGGAACAACTTTGTTTGTTGCTTAAATTCTCTTGTTTCATTCGGTAGGCTCCTTGGAAGAAGTAGGCTCCTTGTTTCATTCGGTAGGCTCTTTGTTAAGTGCAAGCCATGGAGAGTTTACTATGTAAAGAAGAAGAAGAAAAGTTTAGAGGCTGACGTGGCAGAATCAGAGTAAGAGTGGAGTTAAGTATTGACGGTTTTTAAAGTACTATGCTTCTATAAATAGACCCTCTAATACAGTTAGAGTCTTTTATTAGTGGTATTGTTGGGCAGATTCATTGAATCTGAGTTAGGGCTCGAGTCAGTGCTCATATCGTTGTATCTTTGATAATAATCAAATTCCTCTTTATTGATTATTATCAAAGATACAATGATATGAGCACTGAGTCACAACCCGACTCGAGACTCATATTCAATGAATCTGCCCAACAATACCACTGATAAGAAACTCTAACTATATTAAAGGTCTATTTATAGAAGCATAGTCCCTTTACAAACCGCCAATACTTGCTACACTCTTATTCCGATTCTGCCACGTGATATAAGATTGGAATCACTCCAACTTAAGATCACTCAATGATCAAAGATTCCAAGCTTAATAATTCGCGGAAGATGGAACGAAGGTAGAGATGTTGTTGATGATAAGTGATAGTTTGATTGACTCTCTTAATCCGTCGTGATTGACTTCTCAATCTATGAACGAACAAGTTATTTGAATCACACAAACAACTATATTCGTGGCTTCTAAAGAATAGAAGTGAATCTCACACTTGTATTCAAAAGAAAAAACAATTCTTCAAAGAAACACACTTTGAAAGAAAACGAAAATACATTGATTAAATTGATTGAAAGGTGCTTTACAATGAGAACTAAACTGAGCTTATATAGGCTCTATGTTCAACAGTAACAATGTTTAAAACAATAAAAGAAATCGACAGAATTAAAGGTAGAGAGCCGTTAGCATTGATGTAGATATCTTGGCCAAGTAAGGAAACTAAGGTGTGCTTGAGTCTTGATAGCTTGAGGGAGAATGTAGAGTGTCTAGGTACATTCTGGTTGATATGAGAGACCTTCAATTCGTGCCTAAACTTCATAGAATAGAGCCGTTGGAGATTAAGTGTTATCGGGTCTAAATAAGGCAAGTCGAGCTTTGGTATATCATGAATGATCTCGTGCGCTCTGATGCAGTTATGGTCGATTATGGAGATCCTCTGGTTCATGTAGAGTGTCTTTAAGTCGTGGGAAAACCAGAAAGGAAAGAGTTGTTGTAGTGTGAACCCCTTGAATGCCCTTATGTCCGAATAAGGAAAGTCTTGGTGAATGAGTGGCCACGATTGAATCCTCCTGATCCATTGGTTGAGAATGAAGCTTGATATGTTATTTGGAGCCTCTAGTTGTAGTAGAGACTCGTCTGGTCACCAAATATGTGTTTGAAGACTCCTAATCCTTGAAGGTTCCAAGTAAGGCAAGTCGAGGAATGTCAGATTTAGAAAATTTATAACTTTCTCATCTGTACTTGTATTGGTATGAATCCAACTCTCTGAGATTCTATGATGAATCCAACTCCTTCGTTTGAACTCCATTTGATATGATTCTTCTTTGAGATGTTCTGTAATTAAGCTGAGGATATTTTCCAAGTGATTTCAAACGCTGAATCGTTCTGGTTGATCTGATACGTTTCAAAGAATGAACATATGTCCTTGTCGGGTCTGATTAGCATTGTGCATCCGGTTTGATTGAGTTTTGGTTTAGCTGATGCTTTGATGACCTCATCATACCCTCCCTCTTGACTGAATTTTGTCCTCAAAATTGTAGGATCTGCACGGAGATAACTCAAGTTAGTATCTCGAATTCTTTGAGGGTTTAGAAGATTACCTTGGGTCATTGTTTGCTCCTTCCTTGCTGGGAGTTGTAAGGATGCATCATGTGGTTCTTCTTTGATCAGTAAGCACGTGATGACTCCTCTTTCATGCTCCTGGTTGGTTGATTCGAGCTGCAATCTCCTTGTGTTGTTTCCGATCTAGTTTGTTCTCCTCGATAAGCTTTTCATCTCCATAAGACTTGGGCTCCACGATACATGTCTCTGCGTCAGATCTGGTCCCTGTACGTACACTTGCTCTTCTTCAACCACGTGCTTCTCCGTTGCACCTAAACCTTTCTCAATATCTATTGATGAAGACAAGTGTATTATCTAGCATCTGGAAATTTAAAATCAGATTTAACTAGGTTATCATCTTCCTTAAGCTCATTCTTTTTCTGTTCTACGGATTTGGGAATTAACAATTGTCTAGTT